GTAACAATATCAACCGTGGTAATTTCAAGACGTGGTGCATGGTATTTTCTAAAAATTGAATAGACTGTCTGATTCCCGTGATTACATTTTACCGGCAAAATTTGAGATTTCTTTTTACCGCGGGTCACCGCGATTTTTTCATCAGTCTGTTATGGATCTGCACAACTAACTCAGGATAATCAAGTCTACCTGAACTTTTGAGCAAAAACCAGGTGAGTTGAGCTTCGAGGATGGTGAAGAGACCTTTTACAAGTTCTATTACCCAAAATTCTTTTCGTAGTGACAGACTTACTGCGATAATCTTTCTAGACGATGATTGAAATAATTGGGCACGACATCTTCGTTGTCTGTACACATTTCCTCATGTTTCAATATGTATTGTAGGAAATGCATACAGATCATAATGGACATAGCATATATATCGACATTTAAATCGCGGTGTCTCAAGGCAATAACGCGCTGTGACAAATTACGATTATATGAGAATCTTTGTGTAAGAAATAGCTGATGGCGATAACCAGTGACTACAGTTTGCTTTGGCACGGTATTCGAGTTTTCCAAAACCGCAGCATCAGGTACCGCGGTTACAACCAAAAAGACCGTGTTTTGAAAAATCGTTACTTACCGTAGCATTCAATATCGCTGTAACCGTTAATGATTTGTGCAATACATATAAATATCTTACATGTTGGTTTATTCCTTTTAAGTTATAGGACATATCATAGTAGTATTTTCCTTTTTATCTTCTCGTGCTATGTATAGGTTTATTACTATTTGTTATATGTGATACGCATATACTCAGGTCAAAAAATACGAGTCGTTTCCTGTCGGAAAACTCAGGGAATTAATAGAGACTTGAAAGCAGAAATCCAATGGCCAGCTGTGTCTGGTTACCGTGGTTTTCAGACAGAACTGAAGAAACACGGACGTCGAATTCAGGCACTGAATTTCTGCTTCTACTTTTCCAGGTTTTGCAGCAGAAAAAAACTGTATTTTCCTGCGGGTTTCTGTCGTAATAAAACGAATCGTAAAGCCGAAACCATGGTTTTGCATATTTAGAGCAGTCCAGAAATCATGAGTGACTCTTCAATATCGTATAGCAAATTTGAGAGATCTTTCTTTCTATATGGAGTAATAGAAACACAATGCTCTCTCTTTCTGTACTATTTCATCTTTCTTCATCTAATATGCTAATGATAAAATTTCCACGGAATTTGTTTAGGTGTGATATATAAGGATAAAATTAATTCATATTGTGGGTGTGTTGTGTGCAGTGCTCACGCGAATGACCAAATATTACGGGAGGGGGTGTAAAGGAGTATTTTCAGGAACATCTTACAAAAAATCGTAAATTTTAGAGAAAAATCTGCTTTTGTGACTGGAGAAAACTGAAAACTGTTGATTATTGGAGGGGGGGGGGGGGGGGGAAGGGTAGGAATAAACTTCCTTACAACCTCGCTCGTGCGGGGCCTGATATGTGAATGAAGAGAAAATCCGCACCCCAAATCCACACCCGCCCATATGACACTCACATTCACACCAACATCCATACTCACACTCAACTCCTATGGTACTTGTACTATGAATTTTAATTATTTTCTTTGAGTTTTATTGAATTTATACGACACATAATTCTTCCTATGATTATACACTTCAAATGATCATTTGATATGAATGGTATGTTAATTTTCACTTTTGCAAATTATGTTTCATTACTTATTTCATTGCTTAAATAGTCCGTATGATGATTATCGTTCTTTTTTCTGTTCAATATGAAACAAATACGAGTTATTTAAGTAATCAGAGCTATACTAACTTTCTATTAAATTCTTCATATCATGAATAGTCCGATAAGATTATGAAACTATTTCTATTCATTAGCTGATTCAATTGAAGTATTAGGATCATTTAACATACAAGTTCAATCGTTTTACTTAGCTAATCTATTGTCACAGTGAGAAAACCTTAGTCACTTATTAGATCATACACAATAAAAATTTCACATGAAAATTAGTTCTAATTTAAATGAGTAATGTTAATTTGTTTAAAATTAATGGAATATCTGATACAAGTGCATAATAAGGCCAACATATGCACGAACACACACAAATGATAAAATATGAAAAATTTTATGATTTTGTTTGTATTGTTTTTAATAAATCACGACTACATTGTTCAGCGCTAAACGATCATACGAGATAAATGATTTTCTTTTTTAGAAAATATAAACTCACTTTTCAAGTAATGATCGAGCTCGACCGACAACATTAAAATCTTCGATTGGTTCTTCTACCTTAAAACAAGATAAAACCATCGAAAAAAAAATATTTTGCTAAACTAATCCGATCATTAAACATACAGCATAACTTTTAACCATATTTTCATCTTCATCAGAATCTTAATAAATAAATGAATTGTATGAAGAATAATAATAAAAAAAATAAAATATAATTTACCAACAAGGATACCTTGTGCCACAAATGGTTGTTTTTGTTTTGATTCGATGATATTAACACGATTTTCATTATTCTATATAAAGAATTAATAGTAAAACATACTGATTAATTTAAAACATACTTGAGGTGTTTTTCGTCGTAACATAGATAATTCATTTTCAACAATAACGAGACGTGCATTAAAATTCGAAACATCCGATGACGATAAGAAATTCTGCAAAAAATACTCTAGATACTTTTTTGAAAATCTTATTGAATATAATTTACATTTCCTGGATGAGTTTCTTGTAAAATTGAAGTTACATTTTCAAGTCGTGCATTAATATCTTCAACTTTAACTTTCAACATTTGAATTTGTTCTTCTAAACGATTTATTGTCATTGCTGTTATTGGTTCATTAAAATGGGTTTGATTTTGATGATGGGCTAAAATATTTTTTTCTTTCATCAAAATTTCAAACCGAAAAGAAAAGTAAATAATGTTACATGATGATTCAAATTCTGATCCATCTAACCATTTTTCAATATGTTGTTGTTTTGGCATAGTTAAATGATGATTTTCATGATGTTTTTGAATTGATGCTAATTCGTCTATATCATGATCTTTTTTATTTGTTAATTCCAAACCCATATCATGTAATGGATGAAAACTATTTGGTACAGATGTTTGTTCTAAAGATTATTATGAATCTTCAACTGTTAATATAGTTTGATTTATCTACTTACGAGTACTTGATGATATTCGTTTCTTTTCTCTATCACCATTGGCCAGCTAAAAAGAAAATACACATAATAAAATCAGATCATTCGAGAACATTTTTGCTTTTATAGAACTAAGAATTTTTCGGTAACATACACGGGCTGAACTAGTTCCTGGTCTTTTCTGTTGTTGTTGCTGCTGAATCATATTGATTTCTTTACATTCTTGTCTTATAAGTGTAATAACATCACATGCCATTTGTAATTTTCTTTCAGCAAAACCTGTTATAAAAAATTGTTCTTTTGTTACGGGTGGTTTATAACTGAAATGATCACGTAATGCCTAAAAATTTGTTTTGTTTTTGAAAATAACATATTTTATCAATCCTGCACAAATATTTATTATTTACTTTATACATAGTATCGATAAAATGACTGTCAGTTTTACCATAAAAATCACAGTTGCACCTATCAAGTAAAGTTTTAGCAAATAATGGATTAAAATCAAGAAAAACATAATGATAAATTTTTAATAATTCACATGGATTGCCTGTTTGAAGTCTATCAAACGAAAATCATATTAAAAAGAAATAAAATTCCTATACAAAATATAACTAACGATTTATAATCAACATCACGAAATTTAATAAAACGTAATTCTGTTTGTAATTTACGTAGATAATTTTGCACATCACCTGTAGACAACATTATTAAATGAATTTTGTTCAATAGAAATCAGCAAACAAACACATTTTATCGTTCCATTGTACCAATGGCTCCTTTGAAATTGTCTCGGCGACCTCTATTGATAAGTATGAAAGAATGGTGAGAAGCACAATAGGTGGAAACCAAATAGTCATATTGAGCTTATTTAAAGACATCTTGTCGTATAGTTTTAAAATAATTGTGAAGGGCACAATAATATAGATTATCATTCGAAGACTTCTATTTCCATTCAAAGACGAAAGTATAACATTCTAAAGATATTCATGCCAACCTTATTATATCTGATCGAAAATTTAAAAGGCATAGTAGGCATTAAAGATAATTAAAATAAAAAGAATATAAAAACTTTTACATGTCTTTCCATCATACTGATATTCTAACGTTTTAGTAAGATTTTTCTGCGATATTACCATGATTCTTCTATCTCCAATATCTCTAAATATGAATACATAAACGAATTATCCTAATTGGAAGAGAAGATTCATTTCTTTTCACAATGATTGATAACTGTTTTTCCTTCAGCTAAAAATTCGTTTTATCTCGAACAATCTTTTGTCTTCGTTATTTTCAAAGTAAAACGCAATTTTTGATTTAGTATTTTATCTATATTTCATTCCGAAAATAAACTACGAGGAATTTTGTCGAAATAATGAATGGAATCGAATGAATTCTATCGACAAATTATTTGTTTGTTTAAACAACAATTAATCAATTGTGTTGAACATTTTTCTAATTGAGAATTTTTCATTTTATAATCAATTTAATTTCAATTAAAATACATAGTTTGTATTGAAATCTATGCGTGTGTCATTTCATCAACGATTAGAATGCATAAAGGAAGGTAATACTCGTGGAATATTCTGATAGGTTAAATGTACAAGTCATAGAAATTTTTGTTAATCTGTTTTTTGAATCGACTACAAATTTAATATATCATATTAGTTACTATGAGTTCATTTTTTTTTCATGATATATTATCTTATTTGAAGACTGTACCAATCGTTTTCTGTCTTTCTTTTTAAGCGACATCTAACAATCTCTATAACTATTAGAAAAAGAACAAGGCACATAATCACAGTGTAAAGCAGCTGTTATACGTGTTGAAAGAAATCGAGAGACCATGGAAAACGATGAATCAACAACTTCTGTTTCTTCTTTGGCATTAGGTGGTGCTATAACGGGCATATTTGTGCTTATTTTTTCAATTATTTATTTATTCTTTCGATCACCTTCATCATCGAAAACGGAAGAAATAAAAACTGAAAATTGCATTAAATCTGAAACTGATCGAAAGAAACTAACAACAAAATCGACAACATCAAAACCTACAAAGCAAGATACAAAAGGAACAGCAAAATTTGTACATCCATGGTTATGTGCATCATTACGAGGTCATTCAAATCCAGTAACTGGTTTAAATTTTAGTCATAATGATAAATATCTTGCATCAGTTGCTGAAAGTAATTTCGTAATTTTTTCATTTCTTTTTAATTAATTTTTTGTTCATTTTTTTTAAAGATGATAGTGTTCTTTTATGGCCAACAAAAGATTTCGATGGGAAAGAACATAAGTATATTTGATATCATTTAAGAAACTTTATATAGTTAATTTTCTTAGACATACTCGTGTAAACATTGAATTTGATCAAGCGCGTCATGTTATATTTAGTCCAGACGGAAAGTAAATAGATTTAAAAATATGAAAAATAAAATTTGCACTATTTCATTTTATTTTAGAGCATTTCTTATTAATTTAATAAAAGACAATATTATTCGTGTATACAAATTTGAAAAACGTGCTGATGGTTTAATAACAAATGCTCATGCTGTTTTAGATTTTCCTAAAGTAAAAATAAATAAATACATTTATTTAAATTTGTATTTTTCTTTCTAGAAAAATGAAAGTCCTATTGTTGCTATTGGTATTGCTTGTACTGGAAAATTTATTATATCAGCAGAAGTTAATAATAAAATCATTTTATTTGATACTAAAGGTAAAGATTTTAGTAATTTAAGATACAATAGAATGTTTCATATAATCAATTAAAAAATAATCGTTGTTTTTCACTTATATAAGTAAACTTCGGTTCTAGTCATATGAGTTAGTTTTATATTATGCAAAACGATCGACCCATGTGAATATATCAAAGAAATAGCTGTTTGTTCTTTTTTGGAACCAAATAATCCTGATTACAATGAAGAAATCCTCGTCTTCAGATTTCTATAAATTAAAGCACATCCGGATCGTGACTTTAACAATCGAAGTAACTTTCTATCTAATGCATTTTATACGAGATAAATTTTATTGTCAACATTTCTAAAAAAAACCGAACATTATAGTTTTCAGATTTTAGAAGCTATTGGTTAATAACGTCATCTTAAAGAAAATACAATTAGGAGTCGCCGTATTCTCTACGACCTTGTCTTTAAAAGGTAAAAGTATCATAAATATCATGAAAAAACGTTTTTTTAGCTGAGCTTTTAAGAAAAGGTCATAGAAAATGCTGCCTCATCCTCGTTTTATCCTCTTTAAAATAGCATTGATAAAAACTAGCTTATTTTTGGAAGCGAAAAGTACCGTGTTCGATTTTTTGTGAGACTTCTCATTATAATTCATCTAGTATAAAACACGAAATATAGAAAATTGAGTTCGCTATTGAAATCATTATTCAGATTTGAGCTAATTATCTCAGATAATAGAAAGAAAATCAAAAATACGTTATTGTTAAACGTTTTTTCATTATCTTACTTGGTTTTGATTAAAACATGTTACGAGTACAGTACTATCTTTGTTTCCGACAATAATTCTAAATTTGGATTACATGTTAAAACTTGCTAACGTTGTCAACATAGTCAGCTTCAACTTGCCATTAGTTGCTAGCAAGTATATCAAATATTTGTTATTGTACTGACAGCGTTATATTTCTACGAAGTGTATTTTATATTTCTTCAAGTAAGTTTAGTATGTGTGTTTTTTTTTGTATAATGTTTATACAAGCTTACACTCTATAGTAGTGAGACTATGACTGGAAAGTATGTAATACAATTGTCATCTTCTAATGTTGGATGAGAGCACATTGAAAAAAAATTGATATAGTTACCAACAAATAATGGCAAGACAAGATTGGCAAGAGAGAGAATGTTACTCGTAATATATTTTAATTAAAATCAAAAAAGCAATTTAAGAAAATCTGAAGACGATAGTCTGTTCATTGTAGTCGCAATATTTTTCAGCAATTCAATGCAAATCGCAAACTTAGTATACAGACTTGCAAAGCATTCCGAGTGTTATCAAAATATTCACTACACCTGTTTGTTTTCAGTAATATATGTATATATGTTTTTGAACTTTATATTAATTATTTACAGGTGATGTTCTTGATACGGTTGAAACTCGTCAAGGTCATTTAAATTACGCTGCTGTATCTCCATGTGGTCGTTTTTTTGGTTCATCTGGTTTTACTAGCGATGTTCGATTTTTTGAAGTTTGTTTTGAAAAGTCCAATGGAAATTTTAAAGAAATTCGAAAAGCATTTGAACTTAAAGGACATAATGCTCAAGTGTCATGTTTTAGTTTAAATAAAGATTCAACCCGGGCTGCAACTATATCAAAAGATAATACATGGAAATTATGGAATACCGATGTTGATTATATACATAAACAAGATCCAAAATGTTTATATACTGGTACATTATTATATAATATTGAAAATTTAGGTTTAATTGTTCTTTCACCTGATGCTTTATCAACGGTTATTTCAATTGATAATCGTCTTATGTTTTATAATTTAAGTAACGAAGAAAAAAAATGTGAACAAGATATTGAAAATGTTCATTCAGGTAAAAAAAAAATCAATAATAAAAAAAGAAGATATTTAAATGATTATTTTCAGACACTATTCGAGTTTTAATAATGGATAGTACAGGAAAATATGTGGCGTCAGCTGGTGATCGACAAATTCGAATATTTCATAATATTGCTGGTGAATATTCTTTTTTTCTAAATATTTGCATGTATTTGATTCAAAAATTTTATTTTAGGATTAAAAGGATTAATTGATGATTTGACAGAAAAGGCTCATACAGCAAAACAATTAACATTAAAAGAACGTATTGAAGAACAAATAAACGATGCACGGTTAGAAAGAATATTTTTTTGTTTCAAATTGATTTTTTTACATAAATTTTCGTTTTTTTGCAGGTCAAAAATTGATAAGATTCTAAGTGGTGCTTCTTAATCAATCGGTTTTATTGTTTTTTATTATAACGTTGTTATTTCTGCATCAATGAAAAAAAAATCTTAGCAAATAAAAACTACATGGTGTTTTTTTTTTAAATATATTATTTTTTGGTTGAAGCTTCATTAACCCATTTTTTAAGCGTTTCTTTTGAACCAATTTCATATAAAAGTTGAACAACTCTTTCAACAGATTCAATAAATTGAGAATTTTCAGCTAAAACATCAAAGACTTGTTTAATACTTAGAATTTCTTTTGCACCTGGTTTTATTTTTACAGCTAATTCACTTAATTTAAGTTCAACAGCTAATGCATCTTGCAATATAATCGGTTTATTTTGTTCATCAAATCCACTTAAATAACGTATCCAAGCACCAACAGCTAATGCACAAAAATGTGGATTATTTCCTCGTTTAAGTTGTTCAACAATAGTAGGTACAAGAAATTTTGGAAATTTCGATGCTCCATCCATACATACTCGTAAAGCCGTATCTTTAATATGTGGATTTGAAAAACGTTCAATAAGTGTACGTTTATATTGTTCAAGATCAATACCAGGTACTGGTGGTAAAGTTGGTGTAACTTCAACATTCATTAATTGTTCAATATAAATTGCAATATATTTATCTAACATTATTTCATGAATATAAGTATAACCCATTAAATGACCCAGATAACACATGCCTGTATGTGATGCATTCAAAAGGCGCATTTTCATACATTCATATGCTTCAACATGTTCGGTAAGAAGAACATTGTATGGTGATGATGAAAGTAATTCCAATGGAGGTCGTCCATTGCAAAATGAATCTTCAATAACCCATTGAACAAAAGGTTCAGTTATTACAGGCCATCCATCAGCAATACCACAACGTGAACGAACATATTCACGATCAGCATCATGTGTTGCAGGTGTAATTCGATCAACTAGAATTAAAAAAAAAAGAAAAGAAAATTTTTCTTTTCAATAAATTCTTTTCTCTTACCCATAGCATTTGGAAATGTTACTTGTTTTTCGATATATTCAATTAATTGAGTATTATTTAATCCTTTAGCAAATTGTAAAACACATCTTTTTGTAACTTCACCATTTTGTTGAACATTATCACATGACATTACCGTAAATGGCTTTTCATTAGCACGACGACGTGCATCTAATGCATGAACAATAAAACCAAATATTGTTCTAGGTTGATTGGAATTTTTTAAATCATGTTGAATATCAACATTATTCATATCTAAATCATAGCCACTTTCAGTAATTGTCATTGAAACAATTTTTGTATCGGGATGTACAAGTATGGCTAATGCATTTTCAAGTTCATCAGGTGCAAAAATATAATCAATAAGAGAACCGATTATACGAACATCAACATCATTTTCATCATTACCTTTTGTTACTAATGTATATAAACCCTTTTGTGCTTTCATTACAGCACTCATTGGTTTATCAAATGAACGAACTCCAATACCAACAATACCCCAATCCGTTTGTTTATGTTCATTTGCTAATATATCCATATAATAAGCTAAATGTGAACGATGAAAATTTCCAACACTTAAATGAACAATGCCATGTTTAAGTTGATTACGATCATAGGATGGTAAATGAGTACGAGCAGCTTCACATTTTGATTGATCAACAATAAGTTGACTTAAGATTGTATTAGTAGTCATTTTTATCTGAAGCAATGAAACAACAAAGCACAATTATTTGTTTTATAGATTTTCTATAAATGAGACAATATTTATAGGAGGCATGTTCTACACTTTTTTTTTTCTTTGCTTGCATTTTGGACTCGATGGACTGTCGTGTCTATTACTCGAGCTTATTTTTATTCTTGTGGTGTGGATGTATCGTATGCAATAGAGAAAGAAAAAAAAGAAATAAAGAAACGAAGAACAGCCAAATACACAGAGAAAGTAAAAGCTCGAGAAGCGTGCACGTTACCCCAAAAAATGACTTTGTAAAGTTGTCATCTGATACGATATCTACATAATAAAAAGTAAATAGAGGATTCATTGCGATACTACTTTCCTGAATTTTTCGAAATGTCGTGGTTTTTCTGCTTTCGACTGAAAAATCTTAATTTTGTTCTGATATGTTGCTATCTTTGGCCATGGGACTATATTTCTACATAATTATGACGCATTCTTTATTATATTTAATTGATTTTCAAGGTTTCTGATGACAATAATGGTAGAATATTTTCCATCGAGAAAGAAGCATATAATATTCATGTTATATTGGTTTCATAGTCGATTTTTAAATAGTTTTCATTGTTTGCAATGAATTGAAATTTCAAAGTAGCAATAATTTTTTGAAAAGGTTGCCGTACATGCAATATTCAAAGAGGCATATGCATGACGCGAAAAACAAGACTTCAGTATTTCAGAATTGTACTCAATAGCTTACTAAAACAATCTTCAAGTTTTAGAAAATAAAAGTGACATTCTTTTTTGAAAAAAAAAAGAATAGATCGATTTTAATAGAATTTCATGGCACTTTTAAGAAATTTCATTTGAAATGATGCTCATGTTGAGAAATATTGACAAACAGCAAAATGATAAGGGTAATGTCTACAGCTAAATTAAATATACTACATATTATTTTGTTGTTGATAAACTTTCAAGAATGATCATAGAGAAATCAGTATAACATCAGTAATGGTTAGAGAAGCCACTATCATGAGTTTAATATTACGCTATCTACTTATACGCTGAGTTTGACTTGTACAGAAACAACAAGATAAGTTTTGTCGTATCCTGATTTCATCCTGCGAAATTATTCTGCTTGTTTATCTGATTTCAATATATAGATCATTGTGATCTCTATAAATATATATTCATATTAAAAATATAAGTCCTAAAGAATACTTTCCTTCAAAGTACATGTATATATAAGATAGTGTAATAGACTCGCTTGAGTTTTTATTCAAAAAAGAAAGTATTCAAATATTTTAAAGATGAAAAATCAATAATATTTATGTCATATTAATAATTTTACATATAATAATCATTATGGTGGTGGTGGACAGTAGCCCGTTGAAGGTGGTGGCGGACAGTAGCCCGTTGAAGATGGTGGCGGACAGTAATCCATGGATGGTGGCGGTGGACAGTAATCCATTGATGGTGGTGGTGGACAATAGTCCATGGAAGATGGTGGTGGACAATATTGAGGTATCGGTGACGAGAAATGATGATGATGCGGAAAATAATTAGAAGATGGTGGTGGATAATAGCCAGTGCTCGATTGGTATGGTGTTGCCTGATAAGGATAACGACTAGGATAACAGCAATCTTGACCCATCTTTCTTTTTTTAATATGCCAAATGAACGTATCAAAAAAAGAACAGTTGATGTAAACTAAAATATATAGAGAAACTGAAGAAGACATGCACATTATATATAGTTACGATGTAATTTCATAGAGATTCAAGTTCTTGACTCATTTTTTTTGATTTTATCACGTTTAGTTAGAAAACACTAAGTAACTGAATATGTATCTCAACATCGTGCATCATCTTTTACATAAAATAAAAGATAAGACTATATCTTCTAGTGCAATTCGTCAATAAAAAAACGCACGTGTACAGAAAAAGCTAAAGCTGTGTAGTTGTTTCTTTTAAATAACTAGTTGATACAAATAAAATATGATTCGATGTTGAGATTTTAAATTTTTACAAGTAGCTTAAATTTGAGAATAGGAATACAGTGGATATGATTTGGTTTTTTAAGGACTCTACATTTACAAGAATATTTTTGCTGTGAAAGATCATGAAATAGAATAGCTTTGGAGACTTCAAAGAACAAGGAAACGTGTATTTCACATTTCCTTTAATATGCAAACACATATATTATTTAACAAAGCAACACTAATATCTTCAACGGAAATGAAATGAATAATGGATTTGGCTTGTTTCAAAGATATACAGAATTCTCATGATATCCATGATGGTGATGGCCTGGATACGAAGAGAAGGTTGATGAAGATGATAGGCAAAATTAGACAGGTGTTAGAATCATCTGACTTCACATGGTGCTGTTGGTGAGGAATGATATTCATTACTGTTATTTGATACACCAGTAAAACTGAATAAATACGTAGATACTGATGAAAATAGCTGAAAAATTGATGATTGATTTATAAATGATGTATAAAAAGATCAATTAGTACAATCATAATGGTGTACTTAATTTATTTTTACAATAAATTAAAAAATGAAATAATTACTATGCAATTTCATTTGTACTATTTATTTTATTGTTCTTTTTATATACATTTGATTAGATATTATCATTATAATTATTAATACCATTATTCTAATACTTTTCTTTATGATTATGTTTTATCAGTTTCACTATGTTGCTGTTGTTGTATGTTACTTAAGAAATCTTAAAGAGCACTTTTTTCAAGTTTGTATGAAATTTATTAATAAAACATTAAAATGGATTTTCCTTTATTGTGTTTAATTAAATAGTGCATATAGTCAAGTGCTACGTAAATTAGAGCAATAGAATTCAATAATTTAGAAAGTATGACTGTTCATCAACAATATTTAAAATCGATTTGACAACAATGCTCTTTTTGTAGTCGATAATTTATTCATCTTGGACTTCAAAGATCTATAGTAAATATATGGTGCATACCATTCAGATAGACAGACAAAAAAAGCTAGTGCTCATTAAAAACAAAAATAGTGCTACAACCTTGCCTTTTCTTAAATAAGGATGTGATTCATATTGCACACAACTGATTGACTTCTATGATGAGACTGTGGGTAGATGTGTGTGTTGATGAAGAGAATATTCACATCCAAAGCAGAAAAAGTAAGTTTTGTCTTTATATATAAAAGAATGTATCTGTAAGATGTTCTTTGTTCCAAAATAAATTAAAACTTTTGTTTTCCATTTTTTGCCATACTAATCATGAACAGTGTGCATTCAAACTCATAAAAAATATATTGTATGTGCCGTATTTCGCGATACATTCTGTAAACATAGTTCAAATCTATCCTTCGACACGTCTATTGATTTATTCTAGGAAAAACGAATAGTTACTATTTTTTTTCACTTGAATTTGCATTGCTGATACCTAATTTTGGAGTACAAAAGGCAAGGTCCTAAGTAACAGTCGGCTCGAGTTGACTTGATACTGATCGGACGACTTGGAGGTGGTCGAATCTCGTGACCATTGATTCAATATATTTCGTGCCCTTGATTATTCGTCGCTGCATGCGCACAACACAACAATGAATAAATGATTAGCCAGCATATCGTGATACATTTGGAGTAGCGCACATTTTGATCTCTGATGGAAAACATTTCATATTGTATCGTATCTTCTTTACGATATCAAAGTTATTGTAAAAGTCGTTCTCATTCGTATCACTTAGATGCTTTATCACTGTTCCTGTATAGAGTCTGATAATGGTGTTTTTCTGGTTACCAACAGTCAAATATTTTCCGTTTATATGCTGTATTTTCTCGAAAATCTAGTGTGAGATGGTTTGTCCTAACCAACCAACACCTAAAAGGACTTCTGCAGCGATTTACTTTGGAATTACACATACTGCATCTGATTGGGAAGCTGAAATTATACAAGAAGACTTGTTCGTTCGCTACCCTACTTTTTTAAAAGTACCTCTACTAATCGTAGTAAACAATATTTTTGTAAAACTAACCGAAAAATATGCTCATTTTTTTCTCCAATGATCTGTTCTATCCTTGAACTCTCGTGTTTATTATCTCGATGTTGATGCACTCTAGTCAAAAATATCACCCACCATGATCAATATATCTTGCACAATCAACAAGAAAACATAATATTGCACGACAAAAGTATAGATCTAGAAAATAAGAGTGTTTAGAAAATTATCTTTTCTTAAAAAATTTTTCTGTTACACTTTACAATAAATAATGAAATAGATGACTGCAATCATACGGCATCTGTTGTTCTTATTCGTAAATGCATATTGTATTGTCCTGTGTTCATCACAAAAAAAAAACAAGAAAAAAACGAAGAAATATCAGTTAAATTTCGATAATCAGTCAGATTTTTCCCGGCTAAATATGATATCGGTGTTAGAAGACCTTCCTAATGAATTACTGCTTTTTATTTTCCATCATTTATCAATTATTGATATTCTTTGCTGTTTTTATTGTCTTAATCGTCGATTTTCATCTCTTATTCAAACAATAAAACATCTTCATATTGATTTCTCTTATCGACCTTTGAGTAAAACTCAATTTATTTATATTATTAATCAACTTCATACATTAAATATTAAATCAATAAGAATAGCTAATCGTTATTATATTGATGCTATACCTGTTTTTATGTCATATATTCTACGCACTCCACTCATTGATCTTCGATCACTAATACTTATTGATGCTGATCGACATACTATCGTAAAATTGACACAAAGCTATCCAAAATTAACAACATTTTCTATAGAATCATTATTATGGCGATCAATGCCTCGCCGTTTACTTCCTCACTTTTCAAATTTAACACATTGTCATTTACCAATACTTGATTTACTCAATGGTTGTCATACAAAAATAATTAATCTTACATTAGATCATTGTACAACAGATAATCTTATACAGTTAAATACTTATGTTCCTAATCTACGTTCTCTTACATTAACATTAAATAATGATGTAAATATTCTTCCGATAATTAATTTTCCTATTCATTTAATGTCTCTTAAACTTATATTACGCTCTGTATTATTTAATGAATTCGAACGATTAATTATGATGATAAAATATATTAAAAATTTAACTGTATCATTTACTAATACAGAACATGAAGCTCATTGTTTTGATCAATATTTATCAGGTGAAGATTGGTTTTCAATTAATAAATATGTTAATAATCTTCAATTTAACATTATTGTTAATCAAACATTTGAAATATTTTCAATTTCAAAACTTATTTCAAATTTTAATTGGTTTCAAAGAAAAATAATTTGTCAAACAATTGATAATACAAATGGTTATCATCTATTTACATTACCATTTATTGATGAAATTTATACTATAAATACAAATAATCTTCAAGAGTCTATGATGAATAGAAATAATTTTAATCGTGTACATCATCTTCATTTAACTATTTCAAATAATGATATTCAATATTCTAAGAATATTGAATCATATTGTATTTATCCAAATTTACAAAAATTGACTATAATTGCTCATTATATTAATGATACTATGATATCTTTTATTAATAATCTTATGATACATAGTTATATTCAAACATTAGAACTTCGTTTTACATCAATAATAGATAAATATCGTGATTTTTTTGATAAACTTATTGATTATCTACCACTGTCTATTCATACATTAATACTTAATACGACATGTACGAGATTTTTGTCAGATTTATTAGATAATAATAATAATCATTTACTTCCAAATATTAAACGGCTGATATGTTCAGTCAAAAATCAAGATCATTTTGATACATTAATATTACTTTTATTAGAAATATTTGATCAAAAATCATTGATTTATTTAAATATTTCATTAGAAAATTCAAGTAAATCATCAAATTTATTATCTGGTTGGTTACTTAAAACGAATTATTTGAAAAAAGCAACAACGGCATGTTCGGATCGACAGTGTACTATTTGGTTTTAATAATAATTTTTTTTCATTTTTTTTAATGAAATCTTTGATTTTTTTCTATCTATGATATTTATATGTTTTGTGTTTGAAAAAATGAATGTTTAATGATATGCAAGCAAGACATGATAAAAAAGAGACGTCTGCTACTATATACTTTTTTGAAATATTGAATAACAAATATTATTAATATTTAATTGGTTTTTATTCTTTGAAAAAACGTTGGATTTGATTATATTCTTGATTATTCTGTTTCTTCCACTGTTCTATTGACATTATGTTATATATAAATTCGAAGGCTTATGAAGAGAAATACGAAAAATTAAAATTATTTCTTAAATCTTGGCCGACTTCATTAACTTAGAATATTAATTGAAGATATGGTTAATGAAACAATACTATCAGATGCCTAACGCTGATTTGAGTGTTAGTATACATATATATATAAAATACATCAACATATTCATGACCTCTTTTACGATATTATATGTTTAATGTTATGTACTCGTTTGAGTTAGCCGAATAGATAATACACAAAGGTCAAAAATCACAGAATATCAGTCAATGCATGTATTGTTCATTGCAGAGATTTTTCCTGAATAGGAGGAAAAAATGTCTAAACACACGAGAATGAATATAGTAAGATGATCAGTATAAATACTTAGATTTGAAGATATACCTTCTCTCTTTTTTGACCAAGAATTTGATTTCGAGTTTAGCATAAGGTAATGATAGCCTCAAGTGCTATTAGAGACATCATTCGTCTATAAAACAACTCACTGTTGTAGATGTACTAAATTTAAGAAATTTTTGTTTCATAGTCATCATTTTCAAATTCTTTTCTTTTACTTAGCATAATGCAAAACACCAGTTATCTAAATCCTGCTTGCTTACAATCTCTCTCTAATTGACTTTTCTAGCCATTTTTATATGGTCCTCAAAGCCAACATCTCGGTTTAGTCTCCGAACCTTTTCGCATTTTTCTTATTAGAAAAAAAGAAAACTTGATTTTCGAAAACACTCAAGCATATCTCCGAAGTGTAACTTGAAGTAGTTAGACCCTCTTGAAGAATCAAAAATAGTCAAAAAAGAGGAAGACTCTTAATAGAACTAAATCGAGCATTGTGTACTATTACTGAAGAAATTCGTAACGTAAACCAAAATTTTCTTAATTTAATGGATTACATTCTTCGTACATATACACATATTAAGGATGATTTATTTCCGTCCTCACATTGGAACTCGACTAAAAAAATAGCCATATCCAATCATGTGAGTACAGAGACTTAAGTGGAGTCGTGGATATAGTTGAGAGAGTTTTGTTTAATAGTACCTGCACTAGTTACAAAACATATAATAACTATAATTATTTAATGACTTCTACTTAATTTTACTATGTTTATTTTACATAAAATATCATCCACGCAATTTCTCATGTTGTTGCTGTAATAGATTTTTAGTCAAGAATCCATGTAGAAATCCTTGTTTGATATAATCTGCAATGCTTTGTTCAATTGCATCTTGTTGACTTGAACAATTCCATGAGTCACCTCTCATAGTAGATAGAGATGGACACGAAAATTCTGCTTTCCAACTTCTTTGTCGTAGAAAAAAATGTCTTCCAAGATTGAATTTACCTGTTGTACCAAACAGTTCTTGTTTTTCATGATTTTTCCATGAATTGTAAGATGTATAGATTTTCTTCGCCATTTTAGTACTACATAATACCATATTGGCACTGTGACAAAATTGTTGATATTAAACATCATAGAAAGTAAAAATGAAAATAATGAAACTAAATGTATGTTTCATGTTATCGTATTTGTGAACTAGTGTATCTACTAGAATGTGAAGACAACAAAAAAACTAATCTATCTTGGATATTTAAGTCATCGCTTTAGAATGAAAGTGAAGACAAATAATCACGTTTATTGCTATGTGACTTAACAAGATAGAGGATTAATCCAGCTCTATTACCTCACTGGATGCGTCTATGTAAAAGATGAAGGTTCTGTAACGTTTATCTTTTGATTTCACACGTTTTCATCATTATATTTACTTGATAGTAGTGAAACATTAATGTAGACAATCGAGTGTCTTTGATTTTATCTTTTAAATTTGCATCTTTTCTGCTTCATAAGAGCACGAATGGACTTGATTATTCATGATTTATCGTTGATGAAGAATGCTCGCGCTTAAGAATAAAACATTTGAATTAGTCATTGTTGAAAGCCTATTATATTTGTTTTCTTCTAATGATCTCGCATAGAAACTTGATTAATTCATCATAAATAGTATACAGCTATGGGCATAATCGGTGTAAGGCCGCGAAAGGAGCTCAGTGCTACCACTCGCAGTCTCACCTGACTTACCGAATTTTTCAATCAAAATAAATGGAAATCATTCAAAACACCGTAGCTTGAATCTTGAATTATGACAGGTTTATATGTAATTTTAGACTGAAAGTAATAGAGAGCCATTTTTTCTATCTAAGAAACATTAAGATATTGAAAGCACTAATCAATATTTTATGTTATCCGTTATAAATCATGTTTCCTGAGGAAGACTAAGGATAGAGTGAAAATATTTTATAAATATATAAATAAGATTTGTGAAGCCTAGAACATAATAACCACCAGCCATCGTGCCTTTCTTTCCGTCATTCTCATCGAAAAAACAAAAATTGAATGATCAAAAATCTCTCAAATCTCATCCAAATCTTCAAAAACATCAACACCATTTTGTTTTATTTGAAATATCAAGTCTGTTGTATTCAGTTGATTGGACTTATTCATATTAGTCGTCCATTGATTGACCTATCATCACAACTCTTTTCACTATTAGCAAAGCATTCAACCTGCTTAGGCGTCATCATCATTATTACCTATTGACATCCATTGTTCATCCATCGATCCATTTAAGTGATCTTTATTTGTTATTAATTTAACATGAACTCAGCCCTCACGTTTCAATTTCTGGTTATATCATTACTTATAGTAACAATATAAATACCGATATAACTATATTTAATTAAATAAAATTTGATTGCTTACAAGAAATATTATCTTTTTCGATCAAGAAAATATTATGAGCCTGTTGAGTTTTCATTTGATTTTATTATTTTTTTTATTAAAATTCAATTTTATTATTATCTTCTCTAATTATCTGTCAAAAAACAGCAAAGAAAAAAATGAATAAAATATGTAATAAATAACTCAAAAATAAAATACAAAGTCAACAACAAAAAATTAAAGAACAAACAAGAAGAGACTGAAAATAACAATAAAAATCAACTAACGGAATAACTATTGAGATCATCAAGCATACGTTTTTTTCTTGACCATTGTATATATTGTTCATAGAGAGTTCGTGCATGTGTCAATAATCTTTCAGCATTATGACGACGACGATATCGATCAAAATGTATTGATATTTCTTGTTCATCGAGATGTTTTTGTTTTAATAAATGAGTACGATGAGTTAATAATATAGATATGCAAAGAAAGAGTAAAAATGAATTATCTTCTTCAAGCCATATTTTACTATCCATTGGTAAATGTTGTAACCAATTAGTTGATGATGAACATTGAGAATCAGTATTATTAGATTTACAATTATCATTAGGACATTTTGATAGATTATTTGAATCGAATTCTGATATTTCACTAAGTGAAAAAGAATTTTCTAAACTTTTTTCACGTGATTTTGTTGACATTGAATTAGAATTATTATTATTATTATTATTACTAGTTTGATAAACTTGATATTCATCATTTTCTACCATAGAATTACAAACTTGTTGTGTACTAGATGACAATCCTTCTTTATTATCATTATCATTATCATAAAATAATGCAAAAGATAAATGTCTATGTTGATGTGAACAAGATTTATCAATAATTGATAATTGTGGACAACTAAGTGCACGACGTTGTAGTGATCGACAAACTGTTGGATATCGAATATCAGATATTGTATTATCAGATGATATTGATAATAAAGATATTTCACTCAATGGTGGTGGTTCACTAGCAATAGGTAATGTTGCCCACATTACTTCAAGTACACGCAAAGCTTCATTAAATGGAACTTCACGTTTACATTCAAGTAATAACCATCGATATGCAAAGTAGAGATTGACTATAATAATACAAATGATATGTTGGCATAAAGAATTGATTAACTAACATACCTGCATCACATGATTCAAGAAAATTCCAATAGACTGGATCAACAGCTTGCAGAAGTACTTTAAGATGATGAAGTTTCGTTGCAATAGCTACACCATCAGTAGAAAAATTTGCTCGAATTCGCCTCATAATGGAACAAAAGCATAGATAAGCTAATGATTCATCACGCATTACATATAATAGAGTAGAAGCATACTCATTCATTCCTGAAAAAAAATGAATATATATTCAAAATTTATCACGGTAAGGAATCGAATTGAGAAAAGTAAGTCAACAATTAGATGAATAATAGAAACAATATATACAAGGGTGATTGGACAATCCATCGTAGTACTATTCATTGCAGGTGTCGATGTGAATCAGAGCCTTTTGTGTATTCTCATGCACATATTCACACTTATTAGAAATGGAGTCGATTCGTATTCTCTTGAAATCGAGAGAAAAAATTTTCAAACTGAACGACATTGACCTAGCTTTAACAAAAAATTGCAACAATCCTATCTTTGATATATCTACATCGAAGAGAGCAGTATTACATATTCAAAAAAAATTTTCATATATGTTTAATTAGGAAATTTTTACAAATGTTTCTCTACATACATATTGAAAACATATGCGAATTATAATCTGATACAAACCTTGACAATATGTAATATTTGGATGACTAATACAATATGTTATAAGAATATGATATAGAGATTGTAAATTAATATTAGTATCATCTGATGTAGCATAAAAACCAAATGTTCGATCAGTACGTAAAACATCTGTATAAATTGTACGCATAATTAAACGAATATTTTCATTATGTTGTTGTTCTTCTCTCCATCGTCCTTTTAATCTAAACAATGATAATAATTAAAAAATTAATATATAATATCGATTTTCATACTTTTCATATTCTATTGATACATCTTTAAGATATTCAACACGTTCAGAACTTGTCATATTTATTGGAAAAATATTTAATAAATGACGCCATATAATTTTACGAAATGATGGTTCAACACCACCTTCATAAATTGCTTGTCTTAGTTCGTTTGTATGTATAAGACGTCCTTCAGAATCAAGAAATTTTTTAAAATCATTTTCATCAACGGGTTTTGAACCATGACGTTCACGTCCACCATACATCCAATCTATAAATTCTATAGAATTGAACAAATCTGTTTTAAGAAAATAATTATATGCATACTAATAGCTTTATTTAAAGCTGAAGGTGTTTTTCCAGCTGTTGGTTTAACAGTTGCTATTATAGATCGATTATCGACATTAAACCAACGAATATTTGTACTTAAATCATTAAGTGCAACAAAATCCCAATCATCAAGGCCTTAACAGAAATGTTATTCAAATGAATTAATAAAAAAAAAGAAGAATTTTCTAATATACCTTCTTCTTGAGGACTTAATTCGTAACTTAATCGTAAATAAGAATCGGACGTAGCATTTTTTATTGCTTTTTCCAGATCACAATCGGACCAAATAGCTGTTAATTTTTTTAATCCATCTGTAGAACATCTATGAACAGCATATATAGTAAAATCAGTTTTAATATCAAATGCTTGGGAAATTAAACATTGAATTGTTCGATAAGATGCAAGACGTGGATCAATACAAAATTTTTTTGATGTACCTGGTTCATAACCATTATTTATGGCATTCTCACTCGGTTTCTAGAAAACAAAATAATATTTTAAAAATATTTTTGAAAAAAAAAAAAGATTTATAAAAATCTTACATAAACTTTGATTCTTACAACATCTGGTTCAGCAGAACTAATTACAGACATAGATGGAAGAGAATCTCTCGAACGAACTGTACGCAAGTTCTAGAAGACAATTATAAATCAAGAAAAAGTTAAATAAAATAGCTAAAATACTACGCACCTTAGATTTCTTCAACATCAACATACTCATATTCATGTTTATCTGATCGAACAAATGAAGTCTATGATATTATTATTCTATTATTTATCAATCTCATTCTTTATCATCTCTTTCTCTCTTTCTCACTCTTTGTTTTTTTTCTTCGTTCACCAGGTGTATGGAAATGAAAGAGAATGTGTTATATATGGCTCTGATGTCAAGGTTGCTAGCTGATAACTAACCTCATAATACTATACGATAAAAATTAAGAAATTATCTTTATCATAAATGTTTCTATTCTGTATTCTTTTTTTCTTTAGACATTGTCAATTCTTCTAGATTTCAACTGAATACAAGAATTATAACAGACATACAGATAAAAGAACAAAGCACAAAGATTGTCGAAAAACGATCTTTGCACTCTATAAAAAAGAAGCCTCTAAGAAAATTAATAAAAACCAACATACCTTGTTTCTTGAATCATATGTGACTTCTGAAATTTCCATTTTATTTCTAATACAAGTAGACAGAAGTAAAAAATAGTATGAGAAAAACTGCTGTAGGATTTATATTCAACTAAACATTATAATGACTCTCTTCTCTAAGAAATAAACTAAAAACTAGGTTTTTTTAATTTGACTTTGAACTCATTTCAAGAAAATATTCAAACCACTAAATAGCAATTCATAGAACAGTTAGTTCTGTGAATTGTTTAATATTCCAATAAACTTGAATTTTTTATTAAAGTACCAGTGTTTCATGAAAATTGCGCTTATCAAAAATGACTAATAAATAGAAAAAAGCGTGTGGAAATGTTATAAGATTATTTTACTGAATCATGCAGTGCAGGTATGTTCTTTTGTGTGATAACTCATGACCTTTACAGTTTTCAAGATGTTTTGTACTGGTTAAATGTTATATTAACTTTTCTTTTTGTTCCTAATATGATAACCATCGCTTGACTTAGAGAAAAAATAAATATTTATATTTCTCTTCAAAAACGTGATTTTTGAAACAAAAAGAAGGGCAACGTTTGGTATACACATTTTTGTTTCTTGAGTGTTCTTAAGATATTGTAAAATTATTGTCTTATTGAAGTTTGTAAAACTAACAAAAATTATCTTGAAAATTTATATATTATACAAAAAAGACATTCTTATCTTTCTCATATAATGTCATTCATGAATTGAATGCAAACAGTCTTTTGAGTTTTAATTAGTATTAAAAAGAAATCTTTACAATTAATTAAGACATCACAAAGCACTACACAAGCATCAGTAATAGCTAAAAGTCAATGGTTGACACCTGCTATGTTAAAAATGCTTAAATATAACTGATATATTGTTATGAAGATGTTAATATTTTGGCATATCCGTTTGTGTTCAACTGAATAATTGTTCATGTTCATATTCATATTGATTATAAAAATTAGTTGTGTGCAAGTTTTTTTATGAATGTTTATGATTGATGCCTATGTTCAAATACAATACTTTGAGGTGTAGGATTTGATCTATAATTTCTATAATGTACGTCAATCATATATTTCGTTTTATTTTTCTAAGAGTATTCTATTTCATTTGTATTATCCTTCAAAATAAGAGGAATAATAATGCTAGTTGTAGAAAAAAAAACAGAGGTAAAGTAGAATAGTTTCAACACTGATTGACCTACATGATACGATTTATAGGTCGAATCTGTCCTTAGGAGATGCTTCATTGCTTTCCAATAATATTTATTATATTAGTTCAGTCATGCATATTATTAGGCATTACCAATACGGGTTGTTTTCGAAAAACAAATTTTCTTCTTCTTATTTTCTTGTCATCAGTCAGATACATTGGTGTAACAAAGATAAAGATTTTAGTAATAAAATGACAAAAATAAAATTTCGATTCAAGCATGACTTTAAGTATTATTGTTGACTGAATAATTAATCATATTGAAGAAATATCGTTTCATATGAAATATCTTTAAATTGTATGTGAATAAATAAAAAAATCTATCAACATCCAGTTATTGTCTTTTACTATTTATTCATATTCAAAGTATTCAAGTCAGACATTAAATCTATCTAAAATATAAATCAATCGGGAAAATATTTCATTTAATAATATTGAATATCTTGTAAATTATTTCAACAACTGATTTATTATAGCTTTTGTTTTTTTTTTCTATTTGAACTTATCTTTACATACAATTTTCCAAAATTTTATTTACTTTTAAAACATTCTTGTTATTTTATTTTACTATTCGTAAAAACATATTTCGCAGTAGATGAATGACAATTACCTTCAAAACACTGATAATTCATTAAACAATTGCTTGTATCGTAAAATTTTATGAAAATAAAAAAGCAGAAACATTACTATGGAATATGATAAACTGTCGTTTCTTTTTGAAACAGAGATTTATCATTAACTTCAATATTGAATCTCGATAAAAGTAAATAAAAACACAAAATATACTTAGAATTGATTAAAAGTTCTGATAATATTAAATTATACATGTAAGACTCGAAGAGTTGTTGTCAGTTTCAAACTTTCTTCGAGTTTTCAACTATTCAACTAATAAAACTTCTAATTCTACTATTCGACTAATGAATTTTAATAGTCGAATAGTTGAAAACTCGAATAGAAGTTCAAAAATCGTAATGATCTCTACGCTACTGATTTTCTGAAACAACGCGACACAATTTAGTTCTAAGCAGTGTCAAAATAATAGTTAGTAAGTATTATGCAGTCAAGATATCTTGATCAAGTTCTTAAGGTTTTGGGCAAGTAATGTAATATTTTTATAGCTCATTCGCATCAGACTTATCTGTACCCAAAATCTGATCACACATATTAGTACAAGATAATATATATATTATCTTGTATGTAAGTTTTCAAGATATTTTCTCTTTTCTGTGCCTTACATCTTGACTATGATCTTGCTTACAAGATGATGCACTAGAATATAGTACATAGTATCATATAAAATCTGTAGATCTGCAAGAATTTCACTTCAGTTTAAAATCAAATAATGCATTGTATGAATACTACTACTAAATTGCCATGATGTATCATGGAATTTCGTCGAACTTTCACAAGAAATTCTAATTCGCTCTTATTTTTGTTCATCATAGGGTCGATGAAATATTCGGCATCATGTAACTTTTCTTGTCTTTATAAAAATCGTGGAGAATTCTTTCTATTGTATCATGAAAGAAAGAGAAGTCTTAGATGTCATATCATCATAATTTGAGTATGAATCACTGCTGATAACTTGTCTTAACAGTCAAATATTTACACACGTCTGCTTCATGAAACACTTTATCCATCTTGCAATTGTTCAAAATGATATAGTATTAGGTTTCAATACGGTTTTAAGTCTTCTGGTTTATTTTCCTCGCATCTATTCTCCAAATAATCCAAAATTTAATATAGTATCGATCAAATTTATTATATATTTTTCAAATTAGTTTTTGTAAGAGTTGGATTTTATTTGAAAGAATATAAGAACTAAACTCAAAACAGAGTTATTACATATATTATTATAGACAATACATTCTGCTATTTCTTCATATAACAGACTCTTGAATGTTAATTAGTTTATAAAATTGCCAGCAACATTGTAAAGACTTTTGGCCAGACCGAAATAAGAGAATAGAATAAATATCTCTATTGAATTACTATTATGCATCGTCACGTTAAGACAAAAAAAAGTAAATGCTTTGTAAATAATCGAACATCTTTATTCTATGAAATAGTCTTACATGGGATTAACGAAGTCAATGCATTAAAAGATGTAGAGTAATTACAGAGGCAAGGTCATAAATAGCGACATATGAAAATAATTATAGATTTGAAATACTGGAACAAAACAAAGAACTTATATATCAACATAATTTTAATTTTTTTCAACTCTATGGCATAATTACATTTTGGAATATAAGATATTAGTACAAATGTTTTCACGAAATAAATCCATCAATTCATAAACTATGAAAAAAGTATCAAAATTAATTTTAAAATAAAGCGTTACTGTAACAAATTAATACATGCATCGCAAAAAGTTTCTGAAGATTTTCCAATATGAGTACTGCGTTCGTGATGAAAATTAAAATTGATTTTTCTTCATAATGAAAAAAAAAACTTTTTACTTCTATATATCATAAATGATGATTGCAATAAATAGAGAATCATAATTACTAAGTGCTTTATAATTTTAAAACATTAAACAGTACAACATTACAAAAAATGAATATAAAAAATTCAAGTAAAAATTCCACAATCAATACAAATTATGAATACAAAGAACAATGATGAGAACAGATTTACTCATTAGAAAAAAGATTATTGAATTTCTTCAAAGATTATTACAGCTTCCAATGACCATGATAAATACGATTAATTCAGGCTGTTTGCAACAAACATACTCGTACGTTGATATTTAGACAGTAACCGTAATATGAATCTTATGAAACGCTGAAAATCTTTATCTAACGATGGTAAACACTCCTATTGAATTAAATCTCTGATTTTGTAAAGATTCCATACAGAATCATAAAACTTAATCTATTGTATTTTTTTCCTTCCAATATATAATGATGCTTGTATATGACAGACATTATTGAGCGGAATTCACTGTTACTGTAAAATGAATTTGACATTTCCAATGTTTCTTATATTGATTTTTATAGACAATCAAATTTTTATATTTTAATGTAACGTATTTCGATATTCTTTTTGTTTTTCTATATATAGTCCTTTTAATTTTCTATATGTGAAAACACTTCACTTCACTAAGGAGCATCGTTTAGTATCATTGATCATTGCCTAACTAAATGGTAAAATACATTATATATGCTGAAATATTTTTAATATTGACTACCTCAATTGAAAACAGTATTCAAGGTACTTGAGGTTTTAAGAAAGTGCCGTAT